GCTGGATCAGTACAGTTGTAAAAGCAAATGCTTTAAAGGCATATGAAGGTCTGTCATGAGCAGCAGAGAAACACCCAGGCTTTGCTGTGAAAGTAGGCTGCCAGCACTTCAGAGTGCACATTATAGTAACGACTTTCATAAGATAGGTTTTGACATTTTCTGCTATTTTATTGAGATAAAGTAATGTGCTTGAAGTGTCTGACATCTTGCTGCATGCTTGGAAAACAGAACTGTGGTTGCAGAATATTGAATAATTCCATTCACTATAGTATTACTTTTTTTTTTCTTTTATTAACTCTCAGATTTGTTTATTGCTCTCTCAAAGCAATTCTTATGTGAGATTGGCAGTCAGCAGTTTCATCCTAAATTATTTCTCTGTGAAGATCATATGTGAAAATAATCCCATAAAATAGCAATGTTACTGAATGCACACTCTTAATGGTGGTGTCCTCCTTTTGAGGGAAACTACTGCAGCTGGAACTATTCAGAATTCTCAGACTAAGTTTCTTGGTGGCTGTGGGAGGCTCTTTGTAGAACCTCTTTTCTGGTCCTGGTAAAACTTCAGCTGCACCAAAGCATAATGTTGAGTATGTGTGTGCTTGTTTTTCCCCCTGCTACCCGTGAAAGGAAATAGTGCTCTTGAAATATGCCCACCAATGTAACATTCATTGTCTTAGTCATATATCTTCAAGGCTGAGACAAATGGTGGTGGTCCATCCTCTGTTTGCTACTTTGGTAGAGTGTTGTGAGGAGCATGCATCTTGAACAGATCCTTCTGCCTGCCTTCTTAGGCTAGCAAATACCTGATGGGGTCCTATCTCAGGCATTCCTCCCTGGAGGACTGTAGCCTGAGAGCTCTAGGTACTTGAGAAAACAAACCAGAATTCAAGTCTGAGGAACAACTATGCAAATACCTGTTTAAATTTCTCTTGAGTGTTTTGACCTTTTTTTGCCTATTAATATGGAGGGGTTTTGGTGTAGCCTAAACAAAGGTGTAACTGAGATTTGGGTCTTAGCAACTGCTTATTTTACTGAAGTTTTTAAGGTAGTATTGCAAGATGATGTGGGCTTCAGATAAACAACCTGAAAATATATTGCATTCTGTGAATCAGTTTTTCATGAGCTAAGTATCTAAAAGAGCTTATGGTCTCCACCTGCAGAGAAGGGTTTATTTTCTAAACAAAGGTGTAACTGAGATTGGGTCTTAGCAACTGCTTATTTTACTGAAGTTTTTAAGGTAGTATTGCAAGATGATGTGGGCTTCAGATAAACAACCTGAAAATATATTGCATTCTGTGAATCAGTTTTTCATGAGCTAAGTATCTAAAAGAGCTTATGAAGCGTTTATTTTTTATTCCTCTCTTCAGACTTTGCAGTAGCCATTTCTGACTCCTTTTCTGTAGCTAAATTCTTAGAGGAAAAGCCAGATACATCAAGGCTTTATGCATTTATCTCCTGAAGAAAGAGAGCTCTGTCTGGAATTAAGTTTTGCTCTGGCTGTCTTGATACTCAGTAGGTATGAAAAGTCTTCCAGCATCTTTGGGGCTGGAGCAGTACATTTGGATGTCTTTTCCTTGAATAGCTTGTACCTACTTTCATGCCTTTCGCTTCTCCCGTGCTTCAGTGGAAGCGGGAATGGTGAACTATCAGTAGCTGTGCATTTATTTATCTTACAAGCCTCTGCTGGTGAGATCACACTACTCTGTTCATTACCCAGTTATACAATTTTCATACAACCTTTGTGCTCCAGAGCTCTTCTTCACACTTGAATCTTGTAAAGTCTCCTGAATGAGGGTTGTGCCCTTTCTCATTGGTGCATCAGTGGAAAGAAGGCTGGGAAGGATGTGCTGTGGGTGCCGACAAGAGAGCCTGAGATAGCTGTAGCAAGAATGAAGGATTAAGTGTATTATATTGACTGTAGGAATATGTGATCTGGCCCTCTGGATCCTTTCTGTAGAGACAATTTTTGGGGTGTTCCTTTTTGTTTCCAAAAGGATCTGTGGATAGTGGTCTGGAGAAATAGAGAAGAATGTCCATCATAGCCCTGACTTGAAATATTCTTCTAGTCTGACACAGGAAACAAAAAACATATGTCAAAATAGATCAGAGCCTTGTTTATGACTAATGAGTGTTGGTCTTGACTAAGCAAAAAGTTTTATTACTGCTACTTTCTTTTCAGGCATTTCTGAGTACTTAAGCTTAGCAGATGCATTCAGTAATTATTACACTCTTGCAAATTTTGGGAAGTAGGTGGGAAAATAGTAGCTCATTTGACGCGTTTGTTTCTGAGTATCACTGCATGACCAAGCATGACATTTTCCCCACATATTATTTGTTTAACCTCAGTGGAACAATTCAGCTATGGCTATGTCAAAATATTGACCACGTAGAACTGAAATTTGTCTTTGGGAACACTCGGGGCTTCCTCTTCAGGGGAGAATGTCTTGCTGCATGGACTTGATTTTGTGCTTTTCTTTGTATAGACATAGGCTTACATTTGTCCTTCATGTGTCTTCTGAACAGTGTATTAAATAGTATTTAAAATTTTATTTTTTTTTTTTTAAGTTTCCCTGGCAGGGCCTACAGAGAAGCCTCTTCCATCTCAGAAGCCATCTCAGAAGCCAGAATCAGGTTTCGGTGAGATCTAATAGGCTTGTGATGCCTTTTACAGTCAAGTCAAGTACAATTGTACATAATAATTTGAGAACCTGATTATTTCAATTTAGTGGCACACAGAGTTGTGATATTTCTATAAAAGAAAGCAGTTTCTTAGTAGTGCAAATATTGCTGCATTTTGGAGTCTTCTGGTAGGGCTTTCACAAGTTTACTCTGTGATTTCAAAAGCTATTATATAAAAGCTATTATATTATAATTAGGATATTATAATATTATAATTAGATTATAAAAGATGTAATCTAAAGTGATTTCTCACCCTATGAGAATCTCTTCTGTTAGATTTCAGTCTGCTCATTTTGATCTTGCTCATCTTGAGCTCGCACTTGGCATGTACCACAATCCACAAAAGCAGCACGTAGTTTGACGGATAATCCTTGGTAACTCCATGGTGCTCTTCTGTGTGCCACTGCTGAATGAGGATACTGTTATATTTTGGTGAAAACGTTGTAAGGTGCATTTTCTGTAAAAATAGCCTAAAACTAGTTTTTAGCTCTTTTTTTTTTTTTTCAATTTCAGTTTTTGCATTGCATTTAAAACTTCCGTTCTTTCTTTGCAGATGATTTTAACTTGGAAGATGCTCTTAATCCTGGTATGTATCATGTTTTCCTGGATACTTGGTGCAATCTCTATCCATCCTTTATTACCTAAATGTAATAAGGGCACTGAGCTGGTTAAGGTAACAGACTTCAGATAAAAATAATTACAGTCTAGTTACCTTTATTTACCTTCGGTTTTAGGGGTATGAATTAAAAAACTGTTTTCGTTTCACCCATTTAGCGAAGTCCTACTTGTTTCTCTGCTGTATCTTCACTAGATGGCACTAATTCCATAAACTATTACTTATGGAAGTCTTTTTAATTATGAAGTAATCTCTTACTTTCCAAGAAGTAGTTTCAGTAGCACCAGGAAATATTGATCTGTTTGAAATAATATGAGAGAAGGTGCTTTTTCTAATGTGCTTCAGCTCTGCAGTGTGAGCACCAGCAGAAATTGCAGTATTATTTTCAGTCAGCCAGTAAAATGTGCATCCAGTTAAGCAGATAATGGTTTCTGAGTACCATCATTAGAACTGTTGCAGTGTGGAGAGCTTTCCCAACTTGGGGCATACAGTTGTAGGACAGTAGCACTGTTTGCTGCTCTGCTTTAGCAATTTGAAATTTTGTCTCTCTTTAAGCAGTCTGTTTCCAGCTGCTGACATTTTTGAAAACAGTGTTGGCTAGTTGAGAATCAGTTGGCTGAATTAATCAGATGGTTCAGGTAAGAGAAGAGAGAGGATCCTTTATAGGATGAGGTCTTAGAATTGTTTTCTGGAGCTGCCTGCCTCTTTACTTTGGATATGAAGAGAGCATAGAGTCCAGTGGAAACCAAGAGATCCTGCAATAAATCAGAGGAGGGAGTTACATTTGGATCTTCCAGTTGCCACACAAATACTTCAGCCACTGGACTGTGGCATACTGAATTCTTTTTTTCCTCTAGCTACTGTGTTGTACAGGTTCAAAAGACTGACTTAGAAAGCCAACTCTGAAGAAACATTCACAGCTGCAACCTTGAAAAGAAATGGTCCTTTCCTGTCAATATCCTTTCACTACTTTAATAGGATAGTGAGACTTGGTCTGTTCCAGTTAAGTAGCTTACAGGGCTTCTTGCTTGCTTAGTTTATGGCTTGTGCAGTACTACCTGCTCTAGGACACTGACTTCTCTCAGCTGTTCAGGAAGTCCAGAGGCAGCAATGCTGGTCCCAAACTGTATGGTGCCAAGCTGAAGGGACTTGAGTTTGAGAGGATTTCTGAAACATGAACATGTTGTTACTGTGACACTGAGCCTAAAACCACCACAAACTCACCTGAACAATCTAGAGAAAACTTCCATGTCCTTATGTGCCTTGAGGTGTCTTTTCACTGAATGTAAAATATCTAAGATAATATTATTTTTATGTTTTATAGGTGGCTTTGATGATTCAGATCTGATTGATAGCAATTTACCAAGAGGAGGTGAAGGAGCTGGAGGAGGTGGAGGAGCTGGAGGAGTTGGAGGTGGTGGTGATGGTAGTGGCAGCAATGGTAAGATAGTAGTTTGTGCTTCATATTGATCCTATAGCTACTCAAGCTTTTGCCAAAAGCTTGCTCACAAGCTGGTTAACATAGTCTAATTTGTAACACCTTTTGTTCTGGTATCTGAAACGTAAGAACATGTCTTCTAGTTCAAAAGCAATGTGTTCTGTCTCTGCCAAAAAAAAAAAAAACAAACAGATAAGTAACAGGTAAAACTGGTCTAGAGGTAAAATCTTCAGTGATTTTTAATGTTATGCTAGGAAAGATGGGTCTTAAATCTGAGATGTGAATGTAGGACCTATTTACAGATTCACCATGAATATAATTCTTAAAGGCATCCAGGTGTTATTTTCAGATCTTCTGTGATACACTCTCAGTTTCTTTTAATTCTTGTGGTTAGGAAGCCCAGGGACGGGTCAGAAGAGGGCCTGCCTTGTGTTCTCAAGGATTTCATCTGTCCCACAGGATGAATTTATCCATAGACTTTCATAGCTTACCAAACTCTTTGTGAGTAATCTGCAGTGTCTAATGGTGACAGTGCTGCTCAGTACTGAGGTGGTCATTGGGACCAAGATGCAGTAATGGTCCTCATTAGCAAGGGGCTAGTCATTCCCATGTGTGTTAGTACACCTTAACAATTTCCAGAACAAATTTAGCCTGGGTATCTTGGTGTGGTATTGAGCCATGCTGCTGGTTACTGACTTCTTCAGAGTTGTCCTAGACAGAGATTACTGCTTCTAATTTTTTGGGAAGCTTTCACCTTCCAAGTTTCCTTTGGGGCAGTAACCTGAAAATTGGCAGGGGAAGAAGCATCTGTTGAGACTTGTGTGATGTTTTCATCTGCACAGGTTCCTGCTTCAGTGGTATGAATTGCATAGTGGTAGAGTTAGTACTGTGTGGATATAATAGGTGGCTTGTAATTTTGCATGATTAATTGACAAAAAGGTGGTCAGTTATATGTCTGTTCTTTAGACATATAGAATCTAAACCTTTTATTCATTTTTACAGAACCAAAGGGCCCGAGTCAAAATAATGCTGGAGAATCTGAGGGTAAATGCATAGATTTATGTCTCTAATGTTGTCTGTATGTCTGAAGCTCGTTTTCTGGTTTGATTTGGTTTGGTTTGGTTTGGTTTGGTTTTTTTTTTTCCTGCATTGCTAATATTCTGCTAGAATGGCCACAGCTAGTAGTGGGTTTCAGCTTAAAAACTTTTGAGGAATCCACAATTCTTACTTTCAGGCTCTGCTTTCATACTTCTTTAAAATCTCCTTGTTGCAAATGGTTCAAAAGTGTTCAGGTCTCAGAAATGCTGCTGTAGGGGTTGCATACATACAACTTAGATTTGGAAATGAAATGGGAGCTTTTGTAATTAGTGGAACTTACAACAGGCATGCATGTGCTTAAGTTGCTTAACAATAAGCACTGCTAACAAATCAATGGTTATAAAATCAGAAGAATCACTTTTCGTTATTCACAAAGACAGAGTTGATTACTTCATGTAATAATTTAAGTTTATTTGGTTTAGAAATGTGTACGAGGTTTATTTTGAGACAATACAAGTTGGACATGGCTTTCAATTCTGAAAAATGTATAAAATCCTTTTATTATTATTTTTTTTTTTTCATTCTCCAGGTTCTCAGGGAGCAATAGCTGGAATTGTAAGTGCTGTGTTTGCTACTGTAATCGGAGCAGTATCTAGTTTCATTGCTTACCAGAAGAAGAAACTCTGTTTCAAACAAAGCGGTAAGAATTGTAAATTCATTTTAATTCCTATTGTCTAAAGAGATGTGGTTTTGTATTTATATTTGGGCTAGAAACTGGTCTTATGCATAAGGTACTTTTAATAGCACAGTGAATTTTTATTCACAGGGAGTGTGCTAGTCAGGAGACAGGGTGTCGGAAGAATGCCTCACCCAAAATTTAGACTTTCAGAAGCAGACAGACATAAGGCTTTGGATTTCTTAAAATGAAAGCATCTACTGCTGAAGAGTAAGCAGGAAAGACTGCAAGAAAACATCTTTTCATGGAAAACTGAGTGGAGGATGGGGATTAGAGACTGTTTTCATGCTGAAAATTACTGTCATTTCTAATTTTGTTATTCATGTTTTTGTGTCTTCACAAGATGCTTGCCTACGTATTGGTTTTCTGACAACAACACAGATGTTCCTCCCCAAATGATTCTTTATTCTGCAGTCATCTTTTGCTTGCTGTTAGCTTCCTTTCCACCTAAATAAGAAAACTTCAATCAGAGAACTTCAGAAGTACTGGGGGTGATAAGTGGGACAGAAGCTTTGGTTTTGTCATTTCTAGTCTTTCTGACTGGTTGGTGAAGGGAGATGATAGAGCAGCCAGCCACCCAGGCACTGCTCTATTGTAATTTGGGAAGTTTGGAAACTGAGTAACAGGTACCATACATGTTAAAATTAACAGACAGGCAACACAAGGGCAACTCCACTACTATCAGTAACCCAGTTGCTTCAGTGGTGTTTCTTTTCTCAAAATATCTCCATTAATCAACAACTTCTAAGATAAGGGAATTTGGATGTTGAACATCTGTTCGTTTCCCAGCAGATGAAGAGAATGTGAATATGGATAGCCATCGGGGAGCACAATCTGAGCCACCTGGTAAGAGAAGGTTCTAGATGGAAGATCAGCTTGCTGGGGGGGATCCTATTAAATGCACTTCATGGAGAAAATTACTTATGCTGTTTTGTTTTATTAAAAAAAAAAAAAGTTTTTGACTACCACGACAACTAAATTAGAACTAAATCAAGATTTCAATTCTGATAATATGGCTCAATTCTGATAATATGGCCACACTTCTCTGGTTTCTTATTCTTTGAAGAGACTGGTTTATTAGCTTGGGGAGTCCTTGAAATACAGGAACTTAGAGAAAGTAAAGAATCATATTTTCTCTGCAGAAGCGTTACTAAAAACAATTACAAAAACATAAGCCTGCTCCTTTAGGAGCCCATCCAGGTCAGATGACATGGCAGAACAGGTTTGTGGGTTTAAAAGTTTGTGTAGACTTATCTTCGGCTTCCTGAAAATGTAGATAAGCTAGTCTAGTGTTTTCTTTCAATAATGCACTTTCTCATCAGTTACACAGACCATACTCCCTTTCATTTTCACATCTGCAAAACCAGGAGTCTGAAACTGCCTGTTGAGCTGTGCTGCAAGTGTAGATACCTACATGGATCTAGTAGGATGTGGCTGAGTGAGAAATCTGGGATGTAATATCGCTTGATACAGAGGTCATTGGCTGCACAGAATCAAGCCTCTGCTTACCCGAATTTATCCCACAGTTTCAAATGCCTCCCAAAACAGCCTGTTGTGCACATATACTGTTACATAGTAATACAGAGCTTACAATGTATAATAACTCCAGGTATTAACCTTGAGTTGTTTTTGTCTTCTTAGTTCAGCGCACACTTCTGGAGAACTAAAGAAAACGTGGTGAAGAACAGACCACTGAAACTGGATAGAGAGCCTGCATTCTGCCTGACAAAGAGAAAAAAAAAAAGGAAACAAAACAAAAAAAAACCCCTAATGCAAATAGCAGAGTCATGAGAAAATAGTTCTAGTTTGGAACACCTCTGGGAGCGTGACTGAGACTGAAGTCCTTCTCTCTGGCCAGCCCTGTGAAGTGTTGTTGCACACCAACGTATGGCCTTAGTGACAGGAGTGTCAAAGTATGTTGTGCCTTTACATTCTTCCCCCTACTCCTGCCACAAGTGGGTGTGTCCCGAGTGCATTCAGTATGTTTAACTTTTCCTTACCTCTCCAAAAACAATATGCAACTAGTGTTTTGTTAGCCCATTGCTTTCAGGCAGTGCAAACATTTTTTTCTTAATATCCTGTACACAGTGAGTGTACCAGCCAAACAACTCTGTGTGTGTTGTGGGCAGCCTGAGAGCAAATGGCTCACTGTGCACTGTGTGTGGGTAATGGATCTGGGTGTGGGTGCTGCTGATACAGCCTGTGTAGCTGCCTGGGTCAGCCACCAGGGCAGGGATACTTGTTCTTGAGCGTGCAAGAGGCAAAAAATTCAGAGTTTTGGTTTTGCTTTTTTTGTTTTTTTTTTCCACCACTGCATCTGTCTGGTACAGATTCAGACCACTCAAACTGGTGCACACAAACCCTTCAGTCCTTTGTAGCTCTTCCTGCTTAGCAAGTGCCGAGCTGGTCAGATGTGGAAAAACCTGACTGACAAATCACAGCCATAATGGGATTTTGTACATCTGGTGAGATTGATGTTTGGCAGTTGTATGAACAGTTGCAGATGAAGTGTTGGGGAGTGGGGATTAACATCTTCAGACTTCCATAATCAAAAACTTAACAGAAAGTAATGTTGAATCCAGGAGGCTTACCATGCACACTTAAAAGACAGAAACAGCACCACAGTTCAAAAGCAGGTAATGGCAAGTCTGACCAGAACAGCCCAGCCTCACTGCACAGATGTCCACTGAACTGGATAAATAGCATGTGTGTGAAGAATGCTCTTGGACTTGTGAAGGATTGCCATCGGGATGAGGACCTGTGTTTGTGTCCTCAGCTGAAAGCACTCGTGACCTTTGCTGTGGCTCCTGAAAGCCACAGGAGGGTTTCAAGGATCTGTGGAAACATGTAAACCTGCCGCTCATAACAGTTAAAGGACTAAGTCTGGAATAATAACTAGTTCTGTCTGGAGGGAATAGTCTGACCAGTTTTGTTGGCTTTCATTCTAATTGTTTCAAATTTTCATGCAATTTCAAAATACGTCTTACTAATGTGCTTCAGCCACCTGGCAAAGTTCTACAGAAAGGTGACATTTTATGCAACATCCCAGAAGTCATTACGAATTTGGATATTAAGCATGTAAATACATCTGTACATTCAAATATGAATGTATGCCAAGGATAATTCATTTAAGAATTTCTTGTACATGTTCCTTAGCTTGCAACAAAGCTTTACACAGATTTTAGTGTTTTGTTACTGAATTAATTTGTAAACCTCTTTTTGCCCCACATCTCATTTTAGTATAGCAGTACTAAAACCTTTAAGTGTGTTTAAGGTTGGAAAGGTGATTTTTATGTAATCATTTGATCTGTGTAAATACAGAGAAATGAAATGTACTGCTCACCTGCATGAATAAACAGGTGTCTTAATGCCAAGTGCAGGGAAAACACAAATAAGCCAGTGTTGGTTAGGGATAGAATGGTGGGGGAAGCTCAAACTAGCTTTTAGCTAACCAGACTCTGGAATCCTTCTTCAGCTTTTGCAAGCCTAAAAATTACTTATTAAAACCTCTTATCAACATTGTGATTTTTCTAAAAATAAATTCAAAAATCAGAAAGAAAGTGTTGATGTGTTTTCCTTCTTGATAGCTCTACAAATACAAAAATTTTGGTGTTCTACCAGAGAAGCAGTGTTCAGAGGGAGTTTGTCTTCCTGCTCCATCAGCAGTACAGGTTTATTTCTCACAAACGTTTTCATCAGTTTAGAACAAGTTGGCCAGTAGCAGCAAAGCAGCGAGCTGCTTTCACAGGGTGCTCTCCAATGTGAAATGCAGAGAAAACCTCTGTGTGAAGGTCAGGCTTGGCTTTTGAAGAACACCTAGATTGGGTCACCCAGAATCTACCAAAAATATGCGTGGCAATAGAAGGCTTAGTACAGGGAACCTTCACGGTGTTTGTGTCGAGCGTTCCTCATCCAGATATCATTGCAGCCTTTAGAAGCAGCCACTTTTGCAGGGCCATGTCACACTGTCTCACCTTCTGATGTGAGGGGATCCTCACTAAATGGGAAGGCATTGCAGGGGTTGACGAGTGGCTAAATAGTAACAAATGTACTGGTTTTTCTCAGTCTAAGCAAGTGTGAGATTTGGGCCCAGCTATACTCCACAAAGCAGGCAAACCTGCTTTGGTGATGTTTGGAGGGAATGGCTGTTATCATGCTGAGTTCAGCAGCTCTCATCTCCTTTGGCTTTGTCCATTTATGGCTTCACAAGCTGGAGGTGTTAGAAGAAAGGGAGACTGGCCACTGACACCTAGGAAGAAAAGGTTAGAGACTAGGCTTGAAATTTCAGCCTGCTCTGAGCAGGAAACTGCCAATTTATGAGTTTCTCTTATTTATCTGTGGGTAAAACATAGCAGTTCAGTTATTTTTCAGTTGTCAGGGTATTAGTTGCTACATTGTGTTTTGCCTCACTGTGTTGCAGTGCACCTCCTGGAGACAGAGGTTTCTGTTGCCTCTTTGTCCCCAGACGGGCACACATCCAGAATTTTCCACCTTTCCCAGGTTGTGGTTGGCTTAGCCACCACAAGACCAATCCCCTAACACCCATTGGACCCCTGACCTGGCAGTAACCCATCCGTGTATCCTTACAGGACAATGCCTTTGTAAACCCACCTACCAACCTGTTAAAAACCCCTGGCCCCAAGGCCACAGGCTCTTTCGCTTCTCCCCTGGGGTGGGTGCTGTTTCAGTGCCTGCCTCAGGTGTTTTTGTTTGTTATTTTCATGTTATTAAAACCTTTTATTTTGGAAGAAAGCGATCGTTGCCCATCCCTCCTTTACTCGCCACTGCCCTCCTCTTCGCTGACGACCACCCTGGAGGTACTACTGGGGTCCCGCTGGGGGTGTTTTCTTCCTGGGCAAAACCAGCGGGCTTAAAACCCCCAGCGAAATATATTTTTGCTAAGTTATAAGATCTCTACCTGCTGAGACTCAGATCTTGTGCCTTCCTTGCTCAACAACTGTTGCACTGCATAATTAAATATCCAAATTCATTATTTGTTACATTCATTGTCTCATGAAACATCAGTTAGCAATTATTCTTCACCCTACTCTATGGCTATTTCCCATGGATCAGCTGCTGCCCATTGTGGCCTTACAGCCTATCAGTGACTTTTGGTTCCCAGTTTGGGAACTAAAGTTCTAGTTTCTATACAGGTTTTAATGAGGTTGTGCACTGGGATGAAAAATTACTGTTCTTTCTGAGCCCAAACTGCAAATTCACTCCTGGTGAGGTACCTGCACCATTAAGCTGAGTTCAAATGGATGATACCAAAGTGCTCTGTCCTGGTCCTGTGGCACACCCTCTTCACTTCTTCTCCAACTTACCTCCTTTGAGCAGGAGGAGTTACCTCCAGTAATAGGAGGAAAAAAGCAAAGCAAGATCTTCTTGTTGTAGAATATCAGGTCACTTGAGCTTCTGCAAGGCAGCTGAGGTGGCAGTTTAGTTCATCCTAACTACCAGTGAAAGGGCTGCTTGAAAAACCTTTTGATGCCTTTCAAATGTGATGTCCATTTCAAATACTCTTCCAAACTTATCCAAACAAACTCACTGGGCCATGAAAATGAAAGCAGGTGATTCTTAAGCATAAAATTTGGCAACTTTTTACTGTAGCTCCTCTTCATGCACTTTACAATATCTGTGCCATGTTTTGAATGCTAAGGAAAACTTTTCATAGCACTCAGTTTCCAGTGTAGCTTGAGCTGAATTACACTCCCACTTGGGCATTTTGGTGTTTTCCTTGCTAATTATTCTTGGCCAATATCTAAGTTTTTGTGTGTTTTTCAACTTGACAAGTTTATGAAACAAATGCTAAACTTTTGATGAACTGAAAAGATTGTTTTCTTTTAGCTCTTTTCTGTTACACAGATATAAAAGACATTTAAAAAAAAAAGTGAAGAGATGATTAGGAATAGGAAAAGGACTTGAATGGAACAAAAGTACAGTTATTTCAAACCCCTGCTCTTGGAATACTTTAAAAACCACAAGGATAAAAAGATGCATATTCCTCCATCTGCTTGTGGAAACTATTAAAGTTTTAGCTGTAGTAATTATATTCCTCCATTGCCAAGAAACTGTATCACTGATTCACTTGTGTATTTGGCTTATATTTAAATTAATGTCTAGTATTACCAGATGTTTCAGTATTTTAATTAAAATTCCCCATTTTTATGACAAAAGGTCATAAAAAGTGTAGGATATTAGTAGCTTTCCCCAGTAGTTCTAGTGTATAATTTGGCTCTTTCATCTCCAGTAGACTCATACAGCAGGTCACCCATGGCAAAGAGAGCAAAGTCTAACCTCTGCCCACAGGAAGGATGGGCCTGCAACTGTGGCGAGTTGTGACTGTCTTCCTCTTCTCTTGTAGCTTCTGTCATCTAAAAGAGGCCTGATGGGCTAAAAATATATGGTGTAGAGAATAGACAGACACACTGGCTCTGCTTCTGCACCCATTTGTTATTTCTTAAAGTAAGTAGATAGCTTTTTTCCTTGGAAGAACAAGTAGAAAAAAATTAAGCAAGTTGTCCACCTTGTCAGGTGAGTATTAGGCAGAATTTTGTTTTCCCTTTAAACAGAAAAAGATTGGTAAATGATTTCTTAAAGCGATAAAATGGCAATTTATGCTCAGGTGTAAGGCCTTGTTTTTAATATAGAATATTGTTTACTCAATATCTTGGGCAAGTAGTTGCATGTCTTTGACAGAGGGAGCTGAAATGAAGAAGTTCCTGAGGAACTTCCAAGAACAGAAGTGGAATAAGTATTTAAGAAATCCCAGCTCCAACACTAGGTCTGCTCCTTCCTGTGCTGCCTTCATCTTGTTTTTATTTAGCTAGACAGAGCAGTAGCAGGCTTCGGAGGAAGTAGGCGGGGGATGCATCATCTTCAAAATTAATCTGAGAATGTTTGGTACCCTAATGAACTAGTAACATCAGAGGTAACCCATTTTGGGAAGACTTCACTTAGAAGAGCAACTGTTCTGAAGCAAAGCTACTGAATGTTTGTGAGCTGCTTGGACTTGCCTGGGACCAGTACCTAGTGTTGCAAGCTTTCTTGTTCCCTGCAGGCAAATTCATTGCTGATATGAAGATTACCATGTGTGTCACTTGCTTTTGTTAATCTGGGAAAAAACAAACGGTGGACTAGTGGGATTCCTTGTGTCATAGTGTAATTCTTCTTTTAATTGGCTGACAGTGACCTCTTAAACTTCAATGTCCTTAACTCTTCTAAGATTGAGCAATTGGTCCTGACAAGGAGAGTGATGATACACAAATCGAGCTTTAGGGCTTCTATTGCTAGCTTAAAAATAGTCAAGCCATGTGATCAAAGAAGCCACTTTTGCTTATTCAAATTTGGGGCAGGGTGCAGAAAGCTGACCTACTTGAACATCAAGCTTCTTGAAGATCCATTATCACCAGGTTCTATCAGTCCAGTTTATGTTGTTGCACCAGGTTTTTGTAGTTAGCACAAAAGGACAAAGTCAGCCCAGACACTCTATTGTACATTCTAGGTAACCCCACAGAAATGCACTTGGGGCCAACCTCTGCCCTACATCAGAGTGAATCATCCAGCAACACCAGGACTGTACAGATCAGCCAGTCACGGCAGCAGAGCCCTGAGCATACTTGCTGCCCTAGTCAAACAGTGCTGACAACCCCCCCTGTGGCTTCCCCCCCAGCCAAAGGGAGGGGACACACCAGTCTCCTCGCTGGTGCTGGCACCGGTGTGACTGTGGCAGCCCAGTTGGAGAGACAAGTGTGCTGGTATGTGTTTGCTAGAGAAAGCTTGTAACAAAACTGGATTTTAATCACATCCGTGATTTTTAAAGTATGTTCACATATGGGTGGGTGCATGATTTTTGTTCATTTTCCAAAGGTTTGTGTTCTCATGTTCAGCACTATCTGAGATGTCTCTCCATATAGGGTGGGCATGGAGAGTTGTATTTTAAAAAGTATCTAGATCAATGGAAAAAATCACCACAGATAACATTTATCTTGTGAAGATAAGGATCTGCTTAGAGGCTAAGCATGCGTCCTTTCAGTAGTCTGACATCGCATTTTAAGCTTATAGAATGAGTTTTTTGTCATCCTTCTGTAGACAATTCCTAAGTCTCTGCAAAACAGATTCTTGGCCTCCATTTCCCAACATGGCACCTTGAGTTAGGGGTTATGATTCTGCCAGGATTGCCCTTACCAGCACTTACTGCTCAGATGAAAACAGCAGGGAAGCAGCACTTTGACACAGAGTAAATCTGAGAGGGTTTTCTCGGGTATGCCTCAGAGAAGGCCTGTCTCCTCCCACAAAGTACTTGAGCTCCCACAGCACCACACCCTGCTTTGAAGGTGAGGATGTCAAACAGGTTGGCTTTCCCTCTGGGAAGAAGGAGGGTTCAGATGAGGAGGGCTGCCTCCTCATTGGGTGCTGCTGCTGGTTCCCTGGCTCTCCATGCTCCCTGCCTGGGAGATAAATACATTTCTTAGAGTGTGGGTGGCAACCTCCTGTGCTGCTCAGGGCTTAGCTGTAGCAGGGTTGTTTGCTTTTGTTACATCTCTTCTACTAGAAGAGGGTTTTAGGGACTTCTCTGTCTTCCGTGGTGCTTGAGTGTGATGGTGAGAGAGCTCTTTGGACAGAGCTGCTGATTCCGAGCGTCTCTCTCAAACCTTGGCACTGCTGTTGCAACACCTAACGTCATCACTTGGAAAAAAAGACCCAGTGCAATCAAGGCACTGCTTAGAAGACCATGGGGAAATTCAAAAGTATCCTTCTTTTCTGCCTTGGCTTTCTTCTAGTCCATGTAAGAGGTAAGTGAACTTTGTCTTGTCTTATTTCTAGGGTAAGATTATTGAAGATGAAAAGAAAAAAAAAACACCACACAAAACCATAAACCTAAAAAAATACACTTATTTCAAAACGGCATTATCTTTGTTGCTACTGTTCCATAAGGAGCATTCTAGAGTGTTCAGATAAGTACTTCTGCAGCTTCTGAAGAGATGTATATATATCTTTTGAATGATTGTTTATAATAGCAATGCTAATTGGAGTTTGTTTGTAGTAATTTCTTATTTTCTCTTTAGTGTTGCTTCTGTAAAGTTATTCACAAGCTTGGACTTGAGTATAAACTTTTTAAAAGGAAGATGTAAAGTGATAGCTTCTAGAGGAACTTAAAGTTTCCAGAGAGATCCTTATTAAAATACTAACTTCATGTTTTTAGAGCTTTTCTTGGTTATCAATATTTTGAAACAGTTATACTGTAAAAACAAGTGCTGATTCAGTTTAAAGATGCTCATGCTTTCATATTGGTTCTCATGTTTTAATAATTATAAATGAATAGTTTGTAAACCTCAGGCAACATATTCCTGAGTATATAAAATCCACAGACAAGCATAGATTTTTTTTTCGTGGAGGATTACTGAAGAATCGAATATATTTTGTACATACTTTTAGACTAATAAATAGCAGTTGGGAAAATGTAGTCCTTTCACCTTGAGTCACTTTTCTATATTCATATATCATTTTCAAAACATCCTGTAAAACTTTTTTTGATATCAAGCCAAGTGGAATCATCCTCATGTGCCTCTGCCATGTAGTGTACTTGTAGCTTTTTTTTTTCTGTCTATTAACATTACTGAAAAAAACTTGTAGCGTGGATTTTGCCTGCAGGAGGAAATCACTCTTAGCCACTAGTTCAAAACATCTGCAGCTGCTCATCTTCCCACCACCCCCAGCTTAGAGTCCCTGGGAGATCTTGCAGTCATGGGCAGTGAAAAAACCTTGCCTTAAATTAGTACCATAGTTCCATTTACACAAACAAGGCATTATGCAGAGGTTGTCAGCAAGTAAGGTAGCGTGGAAAGCGCAGAGCAGTAGGACTGTGCTGGGCTGCCCTGGAGGATGTTGTGAGCTGGGATGAGTCACACCGTCTCTCATCACTGGCATGCAGACTTTCTGGTTCTGGAGGACTCCCTCATGTTGAATATTTTTGTTCAAACAGTCTAAGTACAGGCAAGCCAATTCCCATACACTCTATCACTTTAACTGAGGATAAGTTCACTTTAATTAAAGATAGCCTAACCGTTCTCGCTTTACACATGTACTCATTTAGAGGCAGTTCAGACCCTGCTTTGGGGAAGAAGTCATTGCTGAAAGCTGCTGTGGGCTTTGGGCGCAGTCTTATGACTGTGGATACTGTTTAATCCACTTTGGAAAGCAAAACAAATTGTTTTAAGTCTATGGCAACAGCCACTGAGTTTTATCACCGAACTATTTACCATGTTTCAGGTCACATTTACAGGAACCACTTCTCAGTCCTAATGAAGACATGATATGAGAAAGGCTTGGCCATGCTGGTGAAAAGCTGGTCTAAGTCCACGTGACAGGAACATCTATATGTCTTTTAATATGCAGCCTTAACTCTTAGATAAGTTGTAACCATCTGTGATATCTTCTAGAAACTGTTGTGCCACCATGGGCAGACCAGGTCACATCTCTCCTTTTACCATCTAGCATTTTCTTTATGTCTGGCTATCTTCAGTTAGCTGGTTAGACTGCCTTGATGTCTGATCTCTGCAGAAGTGTGTCATAACCAAGGACCACAGTGCACAAGGAACGTGAGACCCAGTGCAGTTCAGAAACTGACAAGTTCACCACAATCTTCCATACTTTTATCTACACTCTGGCTTTTGTTATTTCCAAGCTTAAGTAGGTTACATGAGATCTCCCATATAAGTTGAGGTGCAACAACTACTTGTCTGAGTGGCTTTTAGCCCAACCCAAAAGAAACTTCACATAAACTTCTTCCACTGAAGTTCGTGCTAACATCCCATGTCTGTTTGTGCAGCTTGGCTGATATGTGGTCATTCAGCTTTGCCTGTGTCTACATTGCAAACTTATGGCGTGGTAAGACAGCTTAGGTCCTGGTCCCCTAATATGAAATCATGCCCCTGTTTGAAGCATGCTGCAGGTCTCGGTTTGGCCATACACCTCTCTGCAAACCTGCAGGGCAGGTGCAGTGCAGCCTGAGGGCTCTCTCCTACGTGGAGCTGGAAAGCAGCTGAGACTCTCACCTAGACCTGACTGCTCAGAAAAGCTCCTTAGGTTCCCAGTACAGGTATAATCTATACATCACAGCCTTTAAGTTCAACTGATAGATCATATATTTAGTTAGTAACAAAGCCAGTGAAAAGTTAATTAGCTAGGCACTTTATGGGGAGAACATTACAGATCTGTTTGGATTTGAGATACTATGTGACTTAGTTTTATGAAAAAAAAAAAAAGTAGTTTTCACTGGAGTTAGAAGACAGAATGGGAGACATGAAACCACAATGTAAGAGAAACCTCTTACACTGCTCCATCAAGCTCCAGTCCTCCCCAACACTGTGTGAGGTCTCTGTGTATGCGCAGAAGCTCTCAGAGTATCAGCAGAGACATATCAGACAATGAATTATCCTGTTTCTGGCTGCCAAAACTATTTCACTCCCAATACCAGAGCTGCTATCATCTGCAGGCATGTCAGCGCTGTCATCCAAGGGTGTGATTGCAGCTTGGTAAGTACAAACACCTGAACTGGCTGAAGTGCTAACTACAGCAGAGCTCTCGCAACTTCAGAGCTTGGGAAGCCCTAACAACCAATGGGGTTACTCAGCTTCTTGGGTTCACTTCTCAAACCTTGCTGCCACGTTGCAAGCCTGGTAGCAGTGCTCAGACTGCTAGTTTTCACTATGTATTCTTCCCTCATTTGCATCAGCAATTGTCAACCTCTTTCCATCCCACTGAGGGTAATAAATAAAAAAATGTTGCAATTCTTTCAAGATTCAATATCAATAAAAATATGCCTTTCTGTGGCATTTCGCCTCATGGTTAGAATTAGAAAGATTCAGATTGTTTTGATCAGAATCTTCCTTTGTTTCCACAGGGAGCAGACATCTGTGAATGTTATGGGAAAATACTATCTAAAGTCTGATCTGTAGTGCAGTGTTTTACAAAAGCAAATAGACCATCCAAATCAAAAGGAAGAGCTTGAATGTGTTATGAAAATACTACAGTCCCACTTCTAGGTATAAGCTTTGCCTTTCATCCATGCATTTTTAAAGTCCCGAGGAATTTATTAAAAACCTTAAAATCACATCTATATCTTTTCAAAGGTCAACAATGTTCTAGATTAAATGGAAACAAAGGCCAGAGCAGGCACTCAGATTAGCAGGCAAATTAAAGCAGTCCTTCCTTTTAGTTTAAGTCTCAGGTCTTAAACATCATTGGTGGAGGAACTAGGGGAACATAGTCCACACCTTGAACAGTGCTGAATTAACAAGAACAAAGCCTCCCAGATCAGAATCTATATCACATCAAAACTGCAGTTCCACCTCGCACATTACATCTGCAAGGAGCAGAAACTGAGATATAAACTAGATATTTCTGCTCACAAAGATCATACAGACTGTTTTGTTTCCTGATCATAATGGTAACAAGAAGTCTGACTCTTTGTTCCAAAATCCAACCCAGATTTGCAGAACATTCTGCATGCCAAGACTCTTGATTTTTTTTCCCTCTGAAGGCTAAGCCACCAGATCCTCTTCTGAGTCTCCTGCTTTTGAAGCTCAGATACCAACTGATGCTCCTCCACCCTTTGCCCAGGGTCATTCAGAGAGGCTTCTCTGTGCACTCCAGTGGCATGTGCAGAGGCTTCTTCAGCTCTGTGAAAGGAGCCTGATTGCTTTTCTCATTTAGTCCAAATGAGATGTGAGGTGGCTCCTGAGACTCTGCAGAGGCTTTGTGACTGAACAGGCCTGTCTGCTGATAGCCAGCAGCTCTTTCCAGCATTATTCTAGAAAACTTTCTCAATGGCATGAAATAGAAAAGATGTTTCTTTCTTGTCTTGCATCATAAACACACAAGCAAAAAACATGTACAAACCACCCTGATCATCCATTTCAACCTGGTGGTATTACTAACCCCCTTGGAAACAATAGATGGGCTACTGTGACTTCCAAGGGTACAGGCGTGTACAAACCACCCTGATCATCCATTTCAACCTGGTGGTATTACTAACCCCCTTGGAAACAATAAACAATTATGCTGATGGGCTACTGTGACTTCCAGGGGTACAGGGTTAGTTATACAATAGAATTTCTGAAACAAATTCAACTGGATATTAGGTTACAAAATAGCACCACTGGTACCTGTGCTACCCATTTTGAAGAGCTATAGGTATTTTACGTGTGTTTTAACAGTGTACTTGGGATGAAGGTGGGAAGGGGAACATTAAAAAACACTCTGTAAGCAACAGAAATAACAAAGCCTGGTATCTTTCCAGCCTCCCACATTATCTTCAGGTCCCTCTGTTGCCCCCAAACTACCAGCTGGGGAAAGTGTGGCTTAGTCAGCTGGTACTTTGGCAGTGAGTGTCACTCCGAGAGCCAACACAGCTCTTGCTTGTGCCACGCTATAGGGTTTCAGTAGGAACACTCATATGGGTCTCTTGTTTGAGCCTATCTACTTGTACAGTTCTCATACAACTTGTCCATCATTAAGCCTGACACTCTCAGATGAAATGGCTGAAAAGGGCTCACAACTTAACCAACCACACAGGGACAGAGAGAAGCTTTGTCTGAACAGCCCATGCTGGGGCCTAATCTCAGTTTCCTTGTGACACAGAGCTGAAAATCAGTTTCAATAAGGTGCACTGACATATGGTGTAGCTTCATGCTAGCTAATGGCTTTAAGCTAGAAAAGGGTAGATTTAGGTTAGATGTTAGGAAAAAGTTCTTCAGTATGAGGGTGACAGAGCACTAGAAGAGGTTGCCCA